ATATTTTAAAGGATATCTATAAAGGTGACAGGGTAATCATAAAGTGGGAAAAACAGGTATCCAAGCCTGCAGAGGTAAAACGAGGGCTTACGCAGGGGTGTCCCTTGTCACTCTTATTATTCATGATGTACCTACAAGGATCAGAGGCCAAATTAGAGGGAAGTGGACTGGGCTTTAAACTCTCTTTCGTCAAACAAGGAAAACTCATTGAACAGACACTACCAGCATTGATGTACGCAGATGATATAGTGCTAATGGCCGACAACAAGGAAGATTTGCAGAGATTGGTGGACATCTGCGGTAATGAGGGAGATAGTTTAGATTTCAGATTCAGTAAGGAAAAATCAGCATTCATGATATTTAACGACAACGAAGGTAGTGAGCTTAGAATACAGGAGGTCACGCTAGAGATAACAGATAAATACAAATATCTGGGCGTATGGATAAGCAATGGGGCCGAGTACCTAAGCGGACACGAAACATACGTGACTACTAAAGGTAACAGGAATGCAGCGGTAATGAAAAACAAGACACTGTGGAATTACAATAGAAATGATGTTGTGAGTGGAATATGGAAAGGGGTCATGGTTTTGGTCTGACGTTTGGCAATGCGGTCTTGTGCATGAGATCAAGCAAGATTAGACATTAAGCGACGTGGAATAGGTAGGCTTGCCTTAGGAGCTCACAGTAATACACCAAATCAGGGAGTACAAGGTGATATGGTATGGACATCATTTGAGGGCAGGGAAGCTAGCAGCAAGATAAAACTTGAGAAGCGATTGAGAGAAATGGGAGATGAGCGTTGGGCTAGGAAGGTATTCAGCTACTTGTACATGAAGAACGTCGATACAAAATGGAGGAAGTGAACAAATTGACTGGCAAATGCTTGGAAAACAGCAGGGGGCCAAACCAAAAAGAATTATCGGTTAAGAAGAAGGTGAAGGAAGCTGAGACCGAAATGTGGAGAACTGGCATATCCATCCATCCATCCATCCATCCATCCATCCAGCAGCGCAGCATGGCGGAGTCACGGAGGTCACCACGTCAGCTGTCGCTAACACAAACATTGAGTTTTCTGCAGTGTGATTGCAGTTCGCGTTGCTTTGTAGAAGGGGAGCGGGTTGTTGACGCGGAGCATCTTATTTTAGTCGGCACCAGTGGTCCCGCAAGCGCAAGCGGCGTTCTTTAAGTGGCCGCTTTGTGTGTGTAATGCACTTGGCGCACCGCGTCTCTGCGAAATTTGTTTACATACTTAGGACGCCGCAGCGACATGTAGTCACTGGATACAATGGTCATTATTTAGGTTCGAGTTAACAAGTTAACACTGGTGTCTCACCTGGAAAGAAGAATTCTGCTTAGCCGTTCATTTTTTTCTTCACGGGTGGCACCATCCTACCGAGCTCCTAACGTATACGACTGGCGCTTGTACTGTTTGGACCTCAGTACGCAGCTTCCCTATATATTGCCACTAGGTGCCGCATGAAGTGCTGCATTGAAGTGAAGTTTCCATCGCTGCGCCCCCATCCATAATTTGTTAATGCATGTGGCCGACTTAGCCCCCCCCCCCCCCCCTTTCAGAGTCGCAGCGTCCTCTTTCTAATATGTCAATGTGTGGACAGCGCCTCTGTTTTATATATGCCAGTACCAGCCAGATGTGCCCTATACAACCGTTCACCAACCTCTGCTCTTAATTGAAAAAACTAATAAAAAAAAGATTGCCCGCAGCTTCCCTCGGGGGAACACTGAGGAGGATGCGGAGCATATAATTGGTTAACGGGGTGTTAAAGTGCGACTTACTTGGGTCGATGGCTAAATTGGTTAACGTGGTTGTGAAATGGGGTGTTAAATTGCGACTTACTTGGGTCGATGGCTAAATTGGTTAACGTGGTTGTAGGAGGGGGTTTTAAATGAGTGAACACGTACACACGTATGCGAAAGGGCGGCGCTGGTCGAAGGGACGTCGATCATTGTGTTTGTGGATTCGTTGGAATTCATTTCACCGCGACCTTGGACGTCGACGTGCCGTACAAACCAACCGCCGAGCGGCAACTGAGCGAGCGAGCGCCGACCTTGAGTATATATACAGCGCGACGGCGCATGCACTGTCAGCTGTCGAATGTTCGAGAAGGGGGAGAAGCGCAACGGCGCATGCGCGCGCGTCAGCTGCCGATGTTCTCGAAGCGCGACGGCGCATGCGCGCTACATTATACAGCTAGCGAATGTTCGTGAAGAGAAGCGCACGCGGTGTGTAGAGGAGGAAGGGTGCACAGATGGTGGAGGAGTGAAGCGCGCGCGGTGTGTAGAGGAGGAAGGGATGCACAGATGGTGGAAGAAGGAGGAGGAAGCTTGCGGACGGCGCCGCACTACAAGCCTCGAGTATTAGATGCTCCGCATCTAAAACGCAGTTGTTGCATTGAACGAGCATGGCGAAACAATCTTGGTCGACTTAGTGCACACCGAAACGCTCCTCCTCTTCAGTTTATGTTCTGGCTACGATTTTGTCTTTGGTCACGGCGAGAATCCGGCTGGAGCCATATGCGCATGCGTACTCGTTTTGAACCTTTTGCATAATAACAAATAACACCACCAGCCATTTGCAAGATCACGTGCAAGTAATGCACCAATTACACACGCGGATATCAGCGAAAAAGAGGAGTAATCGAGAGAGTGAGGAGGACGGCTCGAGAACAATGAGTGACGCTACCTTATTTCATCTAGGACCTTAGCAGCATGGCGGATTCACAGAGGTCACCGCGTCCACTGTCGCTAACACAAATATTGAGTTTTCTGCAGTGTGACTGTAGTTCGCGCTGCTTTGTAGAATGGGAGCGGGTTGTTGACGCGGAGCATTATATTTTAGTCGCCAACAGTGGTCCCGCTAGTGCGAGCTGCGTTCTTGAAGCGGGCGCGTTGTGTGGGTAATGCACATGGCGCACCGCGTGTCTGTGAAGTTTGTAACAGAATAGAAAGTTGGGCGAGTTGGTGTATATTGCTGTGTGTGGTTCTCTTCTTTGTCTCCGTCTTTTTGTGCGCCGCTTTTCTTTTAATCTGTGAAGTTTGTTTGCATATTTCTGGTGCCGCAGAAATATAGGTTCGGGTTAATAAATTAACACATGGTGCCTCACCTGGAAAGAAGAAATCTGCTTGGCCGTTCATTTATTTCTCCACGGGTGGCACCATCCTACCGGGCTCCTAACGTATACGACTGCCGCTTGTACTGTTTGGACCTCAGTACGCAGCTTCCCTATATTGCCGCTAGGTGCCGCATGAATTGCTGGATTGAAGTGAACTTTCCGTCGTGCGCCCCCATCCATATTCTGTTAATGCATGTGGCCGACTTAGCGACCCCCCCCCCCCCCCTTCAGAGTCGCAGCGCCCTCTTTCTATTATGTCAATGTGTGTACAGCGCCTCTGTATTATCAATGCCAGTGCCAGCCAGATGTGCCCTATACAGCCGTTCACCAACTTCTGCTCTTGATTGAAAAAATAATAAAAATAAATAAACGACTGCCTGCGCTGCACAACGGTTCCATGGCCCTGTGTTATAGAATGAATACTCACCAGCTCGCTTACATCTCAGATATTTGGAACTGTAACACGCTGTTCCCCTCAACGCAGACATCATGGCTGCCAAGGTCCTAGCTCGGTACAAGAACAAAGAGAACGCAACGTCCTACCCCTTGTTCACTCCAGTGGACAACGCCTTCTACTGTAAGTGAGACTAGCAACTGGCTCAGATTTATCGGGTGTGCATCAGGCTTGGTTTGCTAACGTCTCTTTAATCTGGCACGGGCAACAACGTTGCTCCGCACTGATATGTGCCGGCTCTGAATCGCGAGAATTTCTTAACAGCGTAAGTATATAAATCACCAGAACAAATTTAAATCATAAACATTTCAGCTTTTGTAATGTTTTTACTGGGGCATACATATTAAATTGACCCGCAAGGCACATTCTCGCTGTCGCTGCGAGGTTCCGTATGCAGATTTCGCCACGCGTCTTGTGTTCTATGGGCGAGTGGAAGCATGGGAAGGCAGCTAACGATCGTGGCGAAAAGGAAACGCACTGCCCGTCTTCCGTCGCGTGAAAACCCCATGCGGGTCTCAGATTGACGGAAGAGGGGGGGGGGGGGTAGTCGTGGATGTGGAGGGGGCTGCGTGGCTCCACGGTTATCGCGCATTCGTTCGTGGTCGCGCGCGTCCTATCCTGAAAGGGATAAACCAGTTCTCTCGGTACGGGATTGTTGTCCCACCGCTCAGATGGCGTCGGTACGCAACACGAACTTTCTCGCTCGACGCAGTTGCCACGTTTACATTACGACCTCGTTTACCCTCATTTATACTGATCGCTGGTTTATTTATCGCGTGTATCTCATAACTTTATCGCTGGTTCTAGAAAAGACATCGCTGCTTTTTGCAAATCTTTATCTAGCGTAACTTATTTCCAGATTATGACAAGATGGTGACTGCGCTGGTAAGGTCACGCCGTTTTTATTAACGGACTTAGAAATAAAGAATCTGCTATAAGGCTATCAGGTGACTGCAGAGCACCAAGTTAAAGGGAATTAGATAAAAAAAAGTGTGTTTCATTCAAGAGTCGAGTGCTTGATAATTATATGCTGTCTTTTTTCGAAGAGCATAGAGCGTTGTTGATATTAGTGAACCAGACGTTACGGGTAATTGCGGTCTATCACAATTTTGGGAACTTAGTTTTGCAGAGGGCATATGGGCGCAAGCATGAGCGCTCGCCCGAAAATTCGGCATAACCACCGTGTTCGATATTACTGTTTGTTAGTTTTTACTTCAGTTGTATATAGTTTAATAATGAAGGTATATTATTTTCGCTCGAATAGAGAGATGTAACGTACACGTTGTTTCTTTCATCGCTTTCCTTCGCATTCTAACAGAGCTTCTTTGGTGCGATGAACCATGCTCAACCAGTTCAGCATCAACCGATAATGCTCGGTCGTTTCTTGTTTTCTCTCTATCTGTGTATCTTTAGAATGCACAAGGAGGTTCGAAAGAGCTTCCAAAGAAAGTCCAGCACTCCCTCAGACAAGCCGTGGAAGGCATGAAGGCAAAGGTGAGTAGCAGTGGCGTAGTGAGGGGTTGGCACATCGAACTTCTACGCCTCCCCGCCCCCCGTAGCATGCAGAGTGATAAATGCCCATTTCAAAAAAGCCCCCCCCCCCCCATCTAAAATTAAGGTGGTGCCCCTCCCCCCGAAAAAGATTTCTGGTTACGCCCCTAGTCAGTAGACGCCGTGTATCAACTTTGACGGCATTAGCACAGCACTCTGGCTTGTCATGAGGGACGACATGTACTTACCGCGCAGTCATGTCGCCGCAGCACTGTACACTACCCTAAGCGTCTGCAACACAAGAAGAGATCACCACTACTAAAGCAGCGATTCTGAGGAGTGCGCCTAACTAGATTCAGTAAATAAAAAGTTGGGCGAGTTGGACGGCACACAAGAAAAAAAAAACAGGGAAGGGGACGATGAGCTGTCAAATTATTTCTTTTTTTATTGAGGAAAAGGCATATTTATAACGCAGGTATACCAGATAAAACAAAAAAGTCGACCTAAAACATACAAGCTCGGTTATCTCACGTGCCATTCAAGAAAGGCTATTTCTTTCACCTGCAGATTGGACTGGGAACTAATGTAACATGGCCCCTCCCACCCGATAAGGAAGGCCTCTGTGATCTGCCTCAGCGCAGAGCCTATATGACTGTGCATCAGATAATTGTTTGCTCGAAAAGAGGCTTGCGACTACCATCTTCGTACTATTTGCAGTGGAACGCCAAATGCGTGAATGGCCTGCTTGCCAAAGAACCGTTCCTTTTTTTTTGTGCCCCCATCAGTGCGCTCAGCCGGACTGGTCAGTGCATCGTTAATACAGCAACAATTAGCGTTACAGACACGGAGTGATAATAGGACGATGAACGGGGCACGGAACTCGGCACTTGTTTGTCGTTTTGGCACCGTCTCGTTGAACAACGCGTGTTGCGTTCCCCTGTGGTTGGGCCGTGGCGTTCAAAAAATTCAACGTGCCGCGAGCGGGCGACCTAACTCAAGTTCGGTGTTCATTCAGTCGCGTTGTTCTGTCTGTCGCACGGATTTCTCTGGTTCTGCACTCACCCAGGACCACAAGGGTTTGTTAAATCATTATTTATGGATGTCAGTCGTCGGGAGGGAGAAGATGCATTTATAGTTGTCAAAAACCGATAGACATTGCAATAGACAATAATAATAAACTACTTTAAGGACGCGTTCTAACTTTCGTGTTTTACCGATTCCTGTGACGGAGGGATCAAACCTGTTTTAGGGGCGAAGCTCCTTAGGCTGTGGGTCACTCTCTCCTCTGTAGCATAGTAGTAGTATGTAGCCACCTTTAGTTTGAGTTGCTCACTAGATGGCGCTGTGTGTATATGTCCTTGGTAATAATATAAGTAGATGGCGTTAGAGGTTTTCACAGCTTGTCCTTGGAGTGAATGATGATGAGTGGAACGGAGCGTTCGTCTGCCTGTTTGTGTGTCCATTCGTTTGCCCGTCCGTCCGTCCGTCCGTGCTTCCGTCTGTCCGTGCTTCTGTCCGTATGCTTCCGTCTGTCCGTCCGTCAGTGCTTCCGTCCGTCCATGAACGGACGTTTCGCCCCACTAATTTTTTTAGAGTATACTCGGCACTGACCGCTTTCCTATCAAGGAAGCTATGACACGTTGATAACGCGCATGTCGTTCGTGACGTGAAAATGCCGGGCGCGCTGCGATAGTGCATGGAAAGGAACGCACGATAAATGACGATAAATACTGCGGGACAAGAAGACGCCCTCATTACTCGATAGTTCCCTTGAGTGCAGGTTCACCGAAATAAAAAGTTTCCTCTCACACCTACCGACTGCTGCAGCCTTTGACGTCAGGACCATGTGAAAATATGATGTGTCTTGATTGAGCTATCATAGCTTAGAAGAGACCTCTAACGAACTAATATGGTGCCGAAAGTTTATCAAAAAAATAATCGCTCACGAATTTCTCAGATGGACGCTGCCGAGAGAGCCGCCAGGGAGCTGCTTGCTCAGGAGAAGGCCACTCGACGAATTGGTGAGACAGCGTCGTTATTGTCTTGCGTGACGCAGCTTCTTTCGAATTGGCCACCTTTATAGACAGCTGGCACTTACCCGATTCCCACGAGTTCATATTTCAGGTTGTGTAGCGCTCACGAAAGCAAAAGGTAAAGAGCGAACAAGACTGAAATTTGTCCTCATCCTTGTGAGCGCTGCAATGACCTGTCGTGAAAATTTTTAGAAACAGTTCCCTTGAACTTTATTTCTTATTGGAATAATAGTTGTGTCAAACGAAGTGTGTTTAGCATGTACACACATTATTGCTTGCTTTTTTTTCCTGTGCAGTGGAACCTTTTCTAGTTGTGTCACTACGTATTGTTTTATATAGCAAGTGAGCTGTGAACATAGAGCTTTTTTTTATCTTTTCATTCCATGTTCGAACCATTTTTGTATGCTGATAACGATTTACTATGTACTTGTTGTTTTAAAATTTTGTAAGACTGGTACACAGTTGTTTTCCCAAATATCGCTACACCTTTAGTTTTGTGCCTTTCCTAATTCAATTCACGAAAAATAAAGCATCTGAATCTGAACCGAAATTTGAATGCATGCCAATTCACTCAGTTTTCCATTTCAATTGTTATATGGTTCTTTCATCATTTAGTCTCGTCATCACAACTTATTAATTGCAATGTCATTTCCCCTCTCCAAGTACAGATGATGTGATTGCATGTTTTATGCCGTCTATACCGGCGAGTTAACGAACGTACGCGTGGCCAGGCGTAGGGTCCTTATCTAATAATGATAAGTGTTGGGGTTTAACGTCCCAAAATCACCATATGATAATGGAGACGCCGTAGTGGAGGACTCCAGAAATTTCTACTACCTGGGCTTCTATCCAAAATCTGGGCGCACGAGACTTAACCATTGTCACTGGCATCGAAAATGCGGCCGGGAATTGATTCCGTGACCTGTGGGTCAGCAGCTGAGTGCCTTAGCCACTAGACCACCTTGACGGGTGGTCTGTATCTAAAGATGACGCGTAGGCCGCTTGCGTTAGTTCGGAAGTTGGATGAGACACTTCACACGCACACGCACGCATAAACACACACAAAGACGAGCTTGCGCTGACCGCAATAAATAATGAATGGTTTTAGTATTTATAGCAAGATTCGTAAGTTGTGTGCTATTATGTTGGTGTAATGCTATTGGGAAAACAAGCGCACATATACAAGTAAGAGGAACGGAAGAAACGCGACTGGTTAGTTAAGTACGGTGCTGAATGCAATAAAAATATTCCAGACAATATGACGTAGCAGTATGATAAATATACCATATGACATGAACAAATGAAGTGACGCTACATGTTCTTATAATGAATGTTTTTTTTAAAAAACGGGATCTTCCTAACATCTGTATATTGACATGTTCTTATAGCGATGCCTATATAGAGTATCACCGTGAAAGCGATGTGATGGTTGTATGTCTGAATTGTTACGAGACGCACCGCTGAATGCATTTTAATTCTCACGGAGATATATGCACGGCGCATCGAACAGGCTGCTTTGCGATGCGCAAAGTGCGTGTACGTGACGCTAATATGCGGCCTTTCTCTCTCTCTCTTGCCTCAACGCAGATGTACAGCGAAGCCTCATGGAAACGGCTGAGGGCGTCAAAACATCCTACGATAAATACGAGCTGGAGTTCCAAGAGGTCAGCGTTCACTTAGTTAGCTCTTTTAAACGGTGACAATTATTTGGAACATGGTATAGTGCATTGAAGATTGAAGTAACTAGAAGAATAAGAATGGGGTGGAGCGAATTTGGCAAGCACTCTCAAATTATGACAGGTAGATTGCCACTATCCCTCAAGAGGAAGGTATATAACAGCTGTATCTTGCCGGTACTTAGCTACGGAGCAGAAACCTGGAGACTTACAAAGAGGGTTCAGCTTAAATTAAGGACGACGCAGCGAGCAATGGAAAGAAAAACGGTGGGTGTAACCTTAAAAGACAAGAAGAGAGCAGAGTGGATTAGGGAAAAAACGGGGAGTAAGGATATCATAGCTGAAATCAAGAAGAAGAAATGGACATGGGCCGGGCATGTAGCGCGTAGACAGGATAACCACTGGTCATTAAGGGTAGCTAATTGCATTCCCTGAGAAGGCAAGTGGGTTAGGGGGAGACAGAAGGTTAGGTGGGCAGATGAGATTAATGAGTTTGCGTGTAGAAGTTGGCAGCAGCAAGCACAGGACCGGACTAACTGGCGGAACATGGGAGAGGCCTTTGCCCTGCAGTGGACGTAGTCAGGCTGATGATGACGATGATAGTGCATCAAGAAACGCTAATCATATACTTACTTACTAATGATGGTGTCATTGCCATGGCTGTGATGAGGCATGCGCTGTTCTTTATTCGCTGCGTGCGTCTCTTTTCAGACATTACGCAGGGCCAGGACTGCTCACATGCTGAACCACGACAAAAGTATCGTGAACGCGCAGTCCTTGAGAATTTACAGGTGCGCGTACGTGTCTTTTACGTTTTGCGAACTTCAATTGCAGATATGGGACGCGGGCTCGTGCAGATAAAATAAAAACACTAACAGATTCTTGATTTCTGCTTCACGAAACGAGACAAATAAAAAGGCGAAAGCGTATTTGTTGGGAGAGGTGCCAATGGTGCGATTCAAACGCGTGTACACCGTTACCAAGACCTCGTCGCTGTGATTTCAATTCGTATTATGGTTTGAAGAAAAAAAATAGAAGAAACGGAAGCTTTAGACTTTTAAGTAATCTGATTTTTTCTAAATTTTTTGTTAGAAACTTGATTAAGACAGACTTACCGGTAAACTTCATCTTTCAACTGGTTCAGTCAGGGCCGTAAGGGGGTGAAGCGGTAGAATTGGGACGGTTCTGGCACCTCCCGGAGTTTTTTCATGCTTGAACTTTTCGGGTGATCATCCAAGCATTCACACGCCTTCACATCGACCACCAGTTGCCAAAGGTAACCCTTTCACACACTAACACCCCGCCAAAAAAAAAAAAAAATCTTGGGTGCGGATCTGGGTTCAGTGCATGGTCGGCGCAGCAGGACAGCTGTCCCGTGTACTGCACCCGATGCAGGTGTTTCTAAAATTAAATTTGCCGACGTAGACGTCTACATGACACGAATTCCTTCGCGAAGCGTCTCGATGTATTGGCGTCATGACTTTGCAGCAGAGCGTCTACTGTTTCAGGGCGGCTTTCCTGATGGTCTCCGTCGTGTCGGTGGCGACCATTGTGGCGGGCCTCATCTTCGGCTTCGTCCTGGGCGTCGCCAACTACCGCACCTACGTGAAGCCAACGCAGCGAAACAGCGCTTGTAACATGGGTGGCATCGTGCTCATCTCGTGAGTGAAGATCGAACGATGGCACGCTTGTATACGCTCATTTGGCGAACCGGTGTGGGACTATATATCGTGGCCTTAGTGGCGGTTATTTCTGAACTTAGAAAGGTGATCACTGGCCGAGCGAGCTGTAGCATCCAGTTATTCAGTCGGCCTAAAATTAAAATATTTATGCATGTGTCTCAGAATGATCGAAGTCCCGGAACCCGGGTAGTAAGAAAAGTCCCTTCGGTTCGCCTGAAATCGAAACATCTAGGTCACCCCATGGTTGATTTTCTCAATTAATCGATTTGGCTAAGCAGCCTGAGTTACTGCGATATTGTTGTAGCTATCAGTAACTCTCGTATACGTCCACTTTTACTAACTTTAAAGGCGCTAAATTGAAAAGTCGGTGGTCTAGTGGGTAAGGTACTGGGCTGTTGACCCGCACGCCACGGGATCGAATCCCGGCTGCATTTCCGATGGAGGCGGAAATGTTGTAGGTTCGTGTTCTCATATTTGGGTGCACGTTAGAGAACCCGAGGTGGTCGAAATTTCCGGAGCCCTTCATTATGGCATCTCTCATAATCGTATGGTAGTATTGGGCCGTTAAACCCCACGTATTAATCAATCAATCAGTCAATCAATCAATTAATCAAACATCCAATCAATTAATCAACTAACTATTCAATTAAATAATTAGTCTAATTGGATAATTAAGATATCCTTGCGTGTGTGTGCTTGGGTTCATACCCGTTATAAACATAGAAGTATTCGTTATCAACAAGGCCATGCGAAATTATAACGGACTAAATAGAATTAAACAAGCTAATAAAGTACAGCTCACGCTATAGCGAGAATTCAACGTCGCAATGTCCGGGTTCACCTATGCCGTCAAGTTTAGAATATAGGGGCAGTGATAAGATGTTTTAGGTGTGTCTTGTTAACAAATAAACATAGCACATTGGTGTTTAGAAAAAAATGTTTAACGATTACAAGTACTTCGTACTCAACTATGGGAGAGCACTGAGCCGTCTCGCTCAAACAATCTAACGATAGACAAGTGTCGCCGAATCACATTTGTCTGCAACGAAAATCCAGCGAACAGTAGCGTGCTCCCTTTGTCATGCGTGCAGCAATGCGGGCCTCATGTGGGCCACGTGCGCCTTCATTCCGGTGCTGCTGACGTTCTGCTTTCCCCTGGCGGCCATGCTCGAAGCTTACGTCTGCGAGCCATACGACGTACAAGACGGAACCAGTCTGGACGGGGTCAGTCTTGCCTTTCACGCTCGACAACAGCACGCAGCAACTCAGGCTTGAAAGAAAACTGAAAGAATTTTCGAAAGTAGCGCACGCACTACATGCGAAGCGAACCCTACGAACTCAAGCTGTAGTTTCACTGCTTCTTCTGTCTTCCGTCTGCCAACTTCCCCGAGAAATTACTCTCCTGTGCTATTTTACCGTTGACGTCACAAGAGCTTGTTCGGAACAAGCACTTTTTGTTCGACGCTATAGATGTCATGTTTTATTTTTTACCTGTACATGTTAACATGGCGTACGACGATCATGCTTCGCTTTAGGGTGGTCTTGTCCTTGAAGCGTTGAAGCGCAGATGACTTGGTAAGGCCATAACTGGCTGAGACATAGCGCAAAATAAAACTGACGACCACAAGAAATACCAGCAACTATAGCCTTGCAATTAACTCTTTTAGACTTGGTAGTGATTCGTATAAAAGTCACGTTACTGAGTATATGATATCAGGAAATAACTTTGAGTGCTGACTTCTAAGTGGATTTATTGCGTTGAATAAATTTCATACAAACATACCTTTGTTATTTGTGTATCCCTTTGTTTTCTCATGTTTACTCTCTGTAAAGTATCTTTACAATGGACTTTTCTATACTGGACAATCTTTCATTCTTAAGCAAATGTATTTTGCCGGGAATACATTTGATGAAGGTTCCTCAGGCATTCTGGAAGTTTGTGAGGCACCTTCCTTCAATACATCTCAGACATTGCAGCACATGATGTTTGGTTTTGCAGCAAGTGATGTAATTCTGGTGAGAAGTGTATTTTAGGGCGACTTTCATGACCGGTGCTCCTGCAATTAACCATGCAACCCGTTTTCGTTCTATTTTCAGGCAGCGCAGTACTTATTTAATATGCCAAAGGGGAAAATGTTTCAGTACTTCACTCCGAGCAACATACTCGGGTAAGTAAGCGAACAAAAAGTGAGTCTGCTTGTAAAGCGCGAGTGCGTTGTGTATGCTCCCAATTTCACAAGCTTCGTTTTCTTCACTAATTGCATTCACTGTAGGCTAGTGTGCGTAAAGATAGTGATGAGATAATCTCGCACAGATCGTGTGAGATTTATCTCATCTATAGCATGTCATCTACTATAGCACCAGTCTTAGAGCATTCAAACAACTAAACTGACTAGTGCCTTGGCAAAAAAAAGAAAAAAACTCGTTTAACACCATTTATGAGGTTGTAAACTCGTTCCCGAACTAATAAATGTAAATTCCTCCAACAACCATACCTCTCCCACCCTGAAAAAAGTGTCTTGAAAGAGTGTCTAACGGCTTCGAGTACTTAGTACTCAACTATGGGAGAGCCATTAACTATTTTTTACAAAAGCAGCTGACTCAAGGTTGTGCTAAGAAAAATTTATTGGCACAGACGTCAATAACATTTCAGCAGAACATTTTCTTCTTAGACATGCATTAACGATGATGAAAAAACAGACCTCATTTACGTGAACATGATCATGAGATGACGTGGAAAGAACATGTAAATTCGATGTTTCACACACACACAGTCACACACAAATGTGCCACGAAAAGACAGATGCACATATGCATATTGCAAGATAAACAAGAGGCACAAATAAAACACGAACATGTACATTTCGCGTATTTAGATGTTGGCATGTCATTTCTGCCGACGCATGGATACATCAGACTACCTATAGCTGGCCGGCCGAAGGACGTTTCACTCGTCCGTCACAGACCGACATGAAACTTTGCGGCGGCCCACCGCGGTTGCGCCAGAGACATAAAGAATCAGCAACAATGCGAATACAGGTTAAGGAGGCTGGGGGTTAGTAAAATTGGTTAACGACTTAGAGCACTTGGTACTCTACTATGGGAGAGCTTAAAGCCGTCCCGTCGCCATCAAATTCCATTCGATTACTTCTGTGACACTCAGCTGCCGTTGGTGAATTTTAGCATTAGTGGCTTTGTTCTTAAAGAAGCATGGTGGTGCCGCTGGTTTTCCGCCAGAAAACGCCGACTTTTTGTGCAATTTCCGCTCAGATTTCGACATCACTCTGTCAAACGTAATGTTT